AGCCAACAGAGAAATTGCCATTCTCTGAAGCATCAGTGAAGCCTCCCCCACGAGAGGTGAGCTTGTCAGAGTTCTTACACTTCCCAAAAGAGATTGTTCTTCACACAGCTTGCAGCCAAACCGAGGAAGTTCTTAGTACAGGATGCTGTGAGTGCTGCTGAGTTCAGGGAGCAGCTGGAGAAACTGGATGAGAACTGCACTGTATCTTTGTTCAATACAAAGATAACCACACATGGCAGAGAGCAGTCAAACTGGGGGAATCACTGGTATATCCTTGTACTCTTCCTTAATAATCTGCCTTGGGCCACTGGGACAGACCAGCCCTCCCCTGGGGTCACCAGGGTAAGAGCCACTTCATATCTGTAAAAATATTTCTGCAGTGATTGTCTTTGTTTTGCCCAATTTTTTTTTCCTGTGAATATTTGATTTCAATTTAGGTGCTTGTGTGCACATCTGGGATGCTGCTTAAGGCAAGTTTGGGAGTCCAGACAGACTCCTATCTCCTTTAACCTGAAGAACTTTGCTCCTTCTCAACTGTAACTCTCCAGAGCAGCTTCCCATGCTGAATAGGAAAACACCTTCAGAAAACATTTTGAATTTCAAGAAACATTTGGTTTGCCTAAAATCTGCCCTTTTCTTTTGCCCCTAGACCAAAATGGAAGCATCCCAGAGCAGCAAGGCTGGTGCCAACGGAGCCTAACCTGGAGCCAGCACTGAGGGGAAGCAGCTTCCATCTCCACACCTCCTGCAAAGGGAGCAGGGATTCCCCAGGAGGCTGCTCTACACAAGGAGGCAGTAGCCCTCAGGGGCCTCTCTCTCTGTCCCAAGCTTGCTAGCAACTAGGCCACTGCTGTCTGGATGGCCCCAGACATCTCTTTTTGTGCTGGATCCTTGCCCTGCTATTTTTAACTTATGGTGTAAATATGTTAATAATGGTGCTGCTGTCTGTGCTGTTCCTGAGCAGGTGTTTGTGCTTAGCAAAGGCAGCTTTTCATGTTAGGGAAACAGAACAAGCTGGGCTGGGGTTCAGCAAAGCCTGTTCTGCAGTGTGAAATCCTCTGCAGGAACATCCCCACACACCCAGGGCCAGCAGCTTGTCCTGAGAGTCACAGCTCAGGCTGTTGCTCCTGATTAGGGTGTTTTAGCCAGCGACCAGCCCACAACAACTCACATGGCCACAGTTTTACTGAGGAGGGTGAGCACAGGGAGCAGCACTTGGTGCTGTGGTGGGACTGATCAGAAGGGCTTAAGTCCTTGCTGGACAGGAGCAGCCTCCACCTGTGAGTGTTTCTTCTCCTGTGGGAGCTGTGCAGGTGCCACACACTGTGACAGAAGCAGACTTGCACTTTCAGGATCCCTCTGGGTCACAAGAGGGAGCAACCTGGACCTGCACACCTCCTGCAGGAGTGGAGCTTTGGTTAATCCTCACCAGGCTCAGAATAAACACCAAGTGCTCTCCATACTTGCAAAGTGACTCCTCACACGCTCCAGTGATGGCTCAGTTTTTGCCAGACTCTCAGAGGATACTGAAAAGCTGTTTTTAGCATTTGTTAAATTTTTTACTCTGTCCTATGTAAATGCTGAGAAATTACTCACATGATGGATTTTAAATATGTATATTTATACTTACTGTAAAGTTAGATTTGGTGCTAAGTAGGAATGAAATGTCTCTTCCAGAGGTCAGCCAGCCTTTAGAACAACCCTACTGAAAGCCAGTTCTCCAAGCTCGGGTGTGAGCAGCACTTTAATCCCGAGGCCTCAGGCTCCTGCAGCACAACAGAGCCAGCTGTCAGGTGTCCTGTGTCCTCAGCTCTGTCCCTGAGCCTCTCCTTGTTCACCCAGCCCGTCCACAGCGCCAGGGCTGTGTCTAATAAATGGGAACAAATGTTATTTCAATAAAATAACACCTTGCTGTGGAGTCACTGCTGCCTCTCAGCGCCGCAACGAGGGAAGGCATCTCCTGCCTGGAGTTCAGCCCGTGACTGCTCCACTCCCAAACCCGGCTGGGTTTCTCTGGCAGCATTGGGAAAGCCCGGGGAGGTTTGGGGTGAAATGAGCCGGTAATGGCTCCTTCATTTACCAGTCAGCGTCCGGGAGAGCTCCCTGCCCCATCTGAGCACTCACCAGTGCCAGCTCTGGGGGCTCTGCCCCTCGCAGGGCTCCTGCGGGCAGCCCCTGCTCCAGGGCGAGGGAGAGGAGGAGGCTGGCGGGTGTCCTGGGCGGGATGGGATGAAGGCAGAGGCGGCCAGCACATTCCTGTGCTGAGAGCTTTCACAGACGGAGAGTGCAGAGGGGCTGGCAGGGTGCCCGGGCATCACCTGGGCACTGCCCTGCCCTGGGCGAGCTCTGCCTGGGCTCTGGTGCCTCCCACATCCCCATCCTCCAGCCGTGCAGCACCACACCACGTCACACCAGTGTGTGTGTCAGTTTGCCTCCTGCGTTTTCAATTTAGAAAGATCTGGAAGCTGGCACTCACTATCCCTTGGATGTCCCACGGTGACCACCAGCCCCATGCCCGCGTTCAGCCTGAAGTGAGCACAGGCTGTGCCAGCCTCTCTCCTCACAGGGGAGCCAGCCTGGAGCAGGCAGAGGGGGAGGAACCCTTCCCACACCTCTGAACAAACCCATTTTCAGATGAAAACCCAGATGAAAATCCATTTTCAGATGAAAACCGCCCTCCTTCCCCAGCCTCACAGGTCATTGCTGCCACAGGACTCTTGGGGACGTGCCCACGTCTCACTTCTGCCTGGCATGCAGGGACTCCAGGCACCTCCCCAGGACCCAGAACCCTGCAGGCACGCAGAGGAGGGAGGCAGAATTCTGCTGCATGACCTTCTGAGTGAGGGGAGGAAACGACCCCCGTGGAGCCCCATAAATCACGGGATTCTGTTCTGCAACACCGGGCCAATGAAACGCTGCCGGGATCCAAGGCCGTGTGTGCTTTGGCGTGGGGAGAGCTTTTCCAGCCACGCCGGTGCCAAACACCTTCTCAGCCTGGAGAACCAGCTCCTCGGCTGTTTATCCCTCCCCTGGGCACTGTCACACTCTCTCCATTCCAGCCTGGAGCTGGGTGTTGTGGTGCCCATGCCAGTCACACCAAGGCTGGGGCAATGCCTTGCCCGGAGCCAGGGATTTCTGCTGGATGCTGCTCCTGTGCCAGGCCAGCCCCGAGCCTTGTGTCAGCCTCTTGCCCAAAAAGCTGCTGCAGAAAGATGCCCCGGTCAGCACTTTTGGAGGAGATTAGTATTCAGAGGGAAAGGCAGTGATTTAGTGCGGCCCAAGCACAACAAAGGCTGGGATTTACAGCTCCCGGATCCCAGCGCCACATTCCTGCAGCCCTCCTGCCTCTGCTCTAAACGTGTAACAAAGGAGATGGAGCTGTAGCCCAGCCTAAAGTCGTGTGGGACAAGGGCTGCGTTGTCAAACCTTGCATGGAGCGGGATGGGGTGCAGGTGGCAATGTCCCCAAGGTGTCCCCAGGGATGGTCCCATCACTCTGCCCACCCTGCTGCTCCTCGTGGTGCCCACACGGTGCAGGGCAGGGCCCAGGATGTCAGGGCTTTAGGGGAGCCACATGCCCCAGCTGCAGCTGCAAACACCTGGCTCTGCTCGATTCTGGGGGGCTGGAGCTGCACCCCAGGGTCCTGCTGACCCCACAGCTGGGTGGGACACGGGGGATGGAGGGTGGCTGAGGGGGATAGGGGCAGCCACGGCCCCCAGGCTGGGGGATCAGTGCCCACAACCCTGCTGAGCCCTGCTGCAGGCTGTGGGACCTGCGCCGAGGTGGAAGGAATGGCACAGGAGGTTCCTGCACGGCTGGCACGGGGACAGAGCCCAGCTCAGCGCTGGCACAGCAGCCACGGCCTGGGCTGGGGCCAGCAGATTGTCCCGGCCCTGCACAGTCCCAGGGCTTTAAAAGGAGAGAACGAGGAAGGCGAGGAGCGGAGGAGACAAAGGATGCTGTGAGAGCCAAACGTGCTGCAGGCCAAGCCAGCCATGCCCCACACACCCCTCCTGCTCAGGGGCTCCTGAGGGCAGCACCTTCAGCTCCTCCACTGCTCTGAGCCATTTCCCAAGGCTAAACAGAGACCTTGGTGCTGGGCAGAGCTGGAGGGGCTGCAGGGTCCCAGCTGGGGGGATGCCTTGGTCCTGAGTGCCTCCTGTGGGGTGCTGAGGTCAGTTTTGGGGTATAGCCATCTCCCAGATTGCCCACACGGAGAGGATGAGTAGAGAGGAGCTGAATTTTCCTGCTGGGCTCCAGCACTCAGGCAGCCCATCCCATCAGCCTTTCTGCTGGGCACCAGCCAGGGCAGCACCCCGGGACCCTCCCTGCTGTGTCCCCATGTCCCCACGGAATGCAGCGGGCACCCAGCCCGGCAGGGAGCACCAGCAGCTCTGCTGCAGCTGCTCTGCTTATTATCATATTTAATTGCCCTGCTGGTAACCCCAGGAAATGAGCAGGAGACGGTGAGAGCTGCACTTTGGGATGATGTAAACACCAAGCCGGGCCCGGAGAGAGCTGTGATTTATGGAGCCCCCCAGCCCTGCCCCCCGCCCGGGCTGCCAGTTTAATCCAGCGCCGCAAATTCAACATAAATCACTTGATTAAAAGCTCTACTTAATTTAAAGGGGGCGGGCAGAGTGCAGCTGATCGATTTAATTTACACCGGGAAACAGCAACAAGCAGATGCATTTAAAAAGGCCGGTGATGCTGCAGCTGCCTTGGTTTAACCATTTCATGGCTCTGGAGGGGCTGCCAGCCCCTCTCACCCTCCCTCCATGCATGGCCAACCCCCTCCCACACCACTGCCCAGGCCCCGTGGGGTGCAGGGCGCTGGAACATTTTTATGGGAGCCATGAAAAACAGAATTCCCACAAAAATCCCACAAAATCCACAAAAAATGTCATCCTGGCTGCCCCCTGAGTGTCATCTTCCCAAAGTGCTGCCTGGGTGAGCCAGAGCCCCCTCCCCATCACCCCCCACCCAGGGACGGGCCAAGCGGCGGTTGAAGTCTTTAATAATTACAAGAATTCCAGATTCATTACAGAAGAGTTTACAACAAATAATATTTCTCCATACAAAGGCAAAATAAACTTTTTCAAGTAACAGCGGCCTGGCTCCCAGCGTCTCCACACCGGCGGCAGGGACTGGAGGGGAGGGGGGGGGTTCAGGTGGCTCCTGCCCCAGCCAGCGAGCGCCCTGTCCGTCTGTCTGTCCAGAGCTGGGGCACGGCACAGCCTGGGGAGCACGGACGGGCAGAGCTGGGGTGAGGTTGCCCCCCTGGTAAGGCACTGGCAGGCGCTGCCCGGGGAGCGGGGCTGGCACCGAGCGGGGCTGGAGCCCCCTGGCACCACTCCCACGGCCGGGCAGGGGTGGCAGCCCCTTCCCTCCCTCCCCAGGGCACCCCCAAAGCGGTGCCACGGGCACTGGGTGGCCCCAGCCCCGCTGGAGCCCTGTGGGGGGACACGGGGCCAGGGCAAGGCCAGGCACGTAATGACAACGGGTTCCCAAAAGGCATCGACACGTTATTATTATTGTTTAATAAAACCCCATATAAAACTGAAGCAGCAGCAGCAATTCTTATCGAGGGACCTAAACTGAAATAGGTTTAGAACATAATTTAAAAAAATAAAAACAGCAAAAATAGCAAAATATATGACTTTTTTTTTTTTTTTATATAGCAACTGATATCTACCAGCCACTAGTACCTTCCTACCAAACTGGTATATCTCTGGTAACAACCCTTTTTAAAAAGACATGTAAATATATATTCATATTTATACATATTTTTCGTTATGTACACGGGACTCTGGGTTTAGCACAGGTGGGTTCAGTCACCTCTGAGCAGTGCAGGGCTCCTGCCCTGGGTGTGCTGGGCCTGGCTCAGCAAAGCCCAGAGTGCTGCTCCTGTGGCCTGGGGGCATCCTGGGCACAGAGGGAGCCCCATACCACGAGGCCCCTGGCACGCTGAGGCTCCTGGCACACCAGTGAGGCACTGGGCACACCAGTGAGGCTCTGGGCACACCACAAGGTTCCCAGCACACCACGAGGCTCCTGACACACCAGTGAGAATCCTGGCACACCAGTGAGGCTCGTGGCACACCAGTGAGGCTCCCAGCACACCAGAGAGGTTCCTGGCACGCCAAAGCTCCCAGAGTGCCAAGGCTCCCTCCTCGTGCAGCCGAAAGGAGCCAGGTGCTGTTCCTGGCTCAGCAGGCTCTCCGGGTGGCAGACCAGCCTGGCTCCCTGTGCCCGACCAGCATGTGCCACCCCAGGATGCCCGGCTGGCTCTTTGGCCATGCATTGCCCACAGGAGAGGATTTCAGCTCAGCCAGGTGGGAACACTCACAGAACTGAGGGAAAAGAGGCTTAAAAACAAAAGGAGGAAAGGCCATGGAAACCCTTTGGGCTGTGGAGAGCTGACACGAGCGGCAGGAGAAGCTGGCAGGAGGTGGGTGGTTTTGGTTGGGTGAGATGCTACGGATGTCTCTGAACCCTTTCTGCAAACAGCTCAGCACAACCGGGCTGCGCAGGCAGCGTCCACGGGCACGGCGTGGCACGGCACCCCTGGCAGTGCCACCCTCAGTGTCGCTTCAGTCCACCATTGCTGTGCTGAGGGGGCAGCTTGGGAAGGCACGGCTCGTCCGGGAGCGGGTCGTGGGAGAACACAGAGTCCTCTCCCGAGGAGCAGGTGGAGCTGCGCGTGTCCGGGAAGCCGGGGGAATACTGATCCAGAGGCATGGACAGGTCCAGGTACTCCTGAGAGGGACAAACCCCAGCCACGGGCTCAGGACGGGGCTGGGCAGCCCCCAGGGAGTGCCACACCCGGGTGCCACCTCTCCTACCTGGTTGGAGGTCATGGCCACGATCCTGTCCAGGTCTTCCACCAGCTGCTTGAAGGTGGGTCTCTGGGAGGGGACGGCGTGCCAGCAATCCCGCATCATCATGTACCTGCCAGGGCAGGGCCAGGCAGGGCTCAGCCAGGGGCAGGCGGCGGGGACCCCCACCCACGGGAGCAGAGAAGCACCAGGAGTGTGTGCCCAGTGTCCCTGTGCCCAGGCTGGACCCACGGCCAGTGAAGATGCTAGTCCAGGGGCTGAGGGTGATCCCCCGTGTGCCAGGAAGGGAAACCCTCCCACCTGCCCTCATGACCAAGGGAGGAGCATGGACACACGGACACTGTCTGGGCTGCTCCCTGTGCTGGGGTCACCCTGGGATTCCCTCCTGTCCAAAGATGCTGATTTACTGCACATCTGGTTCTCCAGGGATGGGAACTGCTGGCACTGTAACTCCAAACATCTGCCTGCCACTCTCCATGCCCCAGCCCGCCTTCTGCACCCAGCAATGGCTCTCAGAGACTCCAAACCCCTCTTTCCCCATCCCAGCACCGCACTCACAGCTCGTTGGTGCAGTTGCTGGGCTTGTCCATCCTGTGACCTTCCTTCAGCAGCTTGAAGAGCTCCTCAACGGGCACACCGGGGTAGGGTGACCCACCCAGCGTGAAAATCTCCCAGAGCAGCACCCCGAAGGACCACCTGGGAACACAGGGCAGATGCTGGGGCACCGGGGTGCTGACACCCTGCTGGGCCCCAGTTTGGGTCCAGTGAGAGGCTGTTTGTGGGAGGAACAACCACCCACAGCTTCAATTCGCTTTGCAGGATAAATGAGTCCCAGCACCAAACACAATTTGGATTCAAAACATTTGGTTGGCTGACACCAATTGTAATTTCATTAAATCAAGGCCAATCCCATCCGTGCAGCTCCCCAGCAGTCCCTACTCACACATCACTCTGGTGGGTGTAGATTCTGTCAAAAAGAGCCTCGGGGGCCATCCACTTCACTGGCAGGCGACCCTGGGACACAAAACCCACAGTGGCTCCGTGGCTGTGAGGGAAGCTGGGGCAGGGGTGAGCCCTGCATGCCCGCAGTGGCATTCCCAGCACAGACTGGAGCCTCCCCACCCCGCAGAACCCCCGGCACACCACTCACATTTGTTGTCTTCTTGTAGTAATCGATGTGGTGGATGTCACGGGCCAGCCCGAAGTCAGCAATCTTCATCACGTTGTCCTCTGTCACCAGCACATTCCTGGCTGCCAGGTCCCTGTGGATGCACTGCCCAAGCACGGGGCTCTCAGCACCACGATGGGACAGGCAGAGAGGGAAGGGTGCATGCCCCAGGCTCCCCACCCCACCACAGCCTCCTGGGAGCTCCTCACCTTCTTGGAGGCCAGGTACTCCATGCCCCGTGCCACCTGGTAGGCACAGGAGACCAGGTCCTTGAAGGAGAGCTGCTCCTCGGGCACTCGGGTGGGGTTGTAGCAGTACTCCATGCCCGGGGGCCGCCGTGCCTGCAGGTACTCCCGGAGGTTGCCCTTGCTGGCATATTCCACAATCACATAGAGGGGTCCTGAGGGGAAGGTGGCATGAGAGGCTGCAACGTGGAGCAGGGTGCTGTCCCAGGGGACCCCTCCTCCCCACTCGTGCACCCTCACCATCCTGCGTGCAGGCTCCCAGCAGGTTGATGATGTTCTTGTGCTTGCCAATCATCTTCATCATCTCCATCTCGGAGATGAGGTCAGACAAGTCCTTCTCCGTGGCGTCGGCTAGAGTGGGGAAGGCAGCACTCAGGGGGTGCCAGGCCGGGCTGCACACCGCAGACCCCAGCCAGGGCTGTGGCATCATGCCAGCACCACCCTTCTTGACGCCACTTACACTTGAGCATCTTCACCGCCACCTTGGTCACACGGTTGGGCTTGTCCTTGTCCAGGCCGATGGCTTCCGCCAGCACCACCTGCCCGAAGCACCCTTCTCCCAGAGGCTTGCCCAGGATCAGCCTGCAGGGAGAACACCCCGATGCAGCAGGGCAGCAGGCTGGTCGCAGCAGCAGCTGCCGGGGCTGGGCTCACCTGTCCCGGGGCAGCTCCCAGCGCGGGTCCTCGGGCAGCTCGTACTCGGAGACGCCGGCCAGCATGGGGGTGCCGCTGGAGGAGAGGCGCGAGGGCCGCACCAGCATCACGCCCGAGTTCATGGAGGAGCTGGAGTCGGCCGACACCTGCAGGGGGGCCGTGGGTTACCTTCACGCCGTGCCCAGCCCGCGCCTGGCTGCCCCCGGGGGGGAGATGGTGATGGGAGCCTTCGTGCCCGCCCTGCCCCGCGGTGCTGCTGCCCTCCGCGGAACTTTTAATCAATCTCCGTCATGCTGTAGCCCAAAATGCACAGCCTGGGAGCTCTCCCGTCCCCTCGGTGTGTCCCACGCTCTGCTCAAACCTTAAACTGTTGTAAATCCTCCTGGTTCTCCGTCAGGGAGGGGATGATGGGGAGCTGTGCAGCCCCTCTGTCGTTATGATATTTTATGAACAATCCCTTTGCTAGGATTTTCTCCTGAGAAGCTGAGGAGCCTCAGGAAAGAAATGTTAACAATAACTGTCTGTTGTTATGGAATGCAACAGGTGCATCTTTGATTGGTCCATGTGAGATGTTTTAATGACTAATCATGGTCTAGCTGTGTGGACTCTGTGAGAGTCATGAGCTTTTGTTATTCATTTTATTCCATTCTTTACCTTTCAAGCTTTCTGACAGATCCTTTCTCTCTATTCTTTTTAGTATAGTTTTAATATAGCATTATAATATAATATAATATAATATAATATAATATAATATAATATAATATAATATAATATAATATAATAATATAATAAATCAGCCTTTTGAAACATGGAATCAAGATTCTCATCTCTTCCCTCACCCTGGGACCCTCAAACACAACCACACCCCCCACCCTGCTGACTGTGCTGCATCAGAGGCACAGCCTGGACAGTCCCCATCCCGTGCCTCAGGTGGGCACAGGTGGCACATGCAGCAGGGTGAGATGGTCCCAGCTCTTCCCATTCCTCCCCCACATCCCCTGGGAAAGGCTGGGCTCCAGCAGAGGCAGTAGGTGCAAACAAACCCCCTCTCTACTTTCTGTTACCTGTCTGCGCAGGGGGATGCTCTTGGCCAGCTTGTGCACGGCCAGCTGGCTGTTGAAGTCTGTCTTCTTGGTGGTGCTCTTCAGCTTGTAGATGATGATGGTCACCACCATGCAGGAGATGAGGAAGGCTCCGATGCAGTAGATGATGATCTCCAGGTAGAAGGGAGACGTCATCATGGCTGGGGTGTCTTCAATAGCTGGCTCGGCGTGAACAGGGGGTTTGTTAGCACCTGCCAGGCCCCAGGGAGTGGCACTGGGGAGCCCCTGGCTCGTCCCCAAGCTCAGTGGGGACCTCGGTGCAGCAGGGACTGGGGGCTGCCCCCCCACCCTTGCAGGGAAGGCGTGCAAGCAGCCCCCAGCTCATCATCCCCACGGCCAAGCAAGTGGAACTGGATCAACTGGGACAGGCATGAAGTGGGGGGACAGGGCCTGAGTCACCCCACAGGGATGTGGCCCCACGGGCACCTCTGGGGACAGCTGCTGTCCCTGTCTGTGTCCCAGCTGCTGTGCTCTGCCCACCCCTGGGACTGCAGTCCCTCAGGATGTGGGGTCACCCTGTGCACGATGGAATGGCTGTGTCCAGGCCTCTGGGAGTCCAGGAATTACTGGGGAGAGCTGGGAGCAGAGCAGCCAGCAGCACTCCAGTGGCAGTGACCTGCTGTGGGAGCCTGGGCTGGTGGGAGAAGGGACCCACAGCCCCTGCCTTGGTGGCTGAGGGGGTGTTGGAGCTGTGACCAGCCTGGTGAATCCAGCAGGATGGGGCTGCCACTGCACCCTGTGCACCCCCAGCCTGACACCCCCAAAGAGCAGAGCCTCAGAGAGAGCTGTAAGAGGGAGCTGAAGATTCCTGCCCCACCTCTGAGCACACCCGGCTGACAAAGCAGTGGCTGATAACTGGGAAAGTTTTGGCTGGCAAGCAGCGAGCACACAGCACCCCAAAAGCTTTCCCACAGCTGTTATCAGGCTTTGGTCCGTGCATTGATACCGAGAGCAGCATCAATGGGGACGGGGCAGCCATCCCCACAGGGCAAGCACACACAGCCCCACACCACAGGGCAAGGCCAGGCCCTGGCAGGCAAGGGCAGCACTGCCAGCACCCCAAAACCCCCCATGTCCCTCTGAACAGGCAGTGCTGGCCTGGCCTGGCCTGGCCTGGGGCTGTGGGACTGTCCTGCCCTGGTTAAGTTCCCCAGGTATGCATTGCCTGGGCCAGGGAGAGAGCAGGGGCAGACCCCAGCAGGGGTGGAGGGGGGCACAGAGCTGGGGGGCACTGCCCCATCTGCTCCAGCTGCAGGGCAGCCCTGCAGCACCCACGCTGACCCAGGGGACAAGGGCTGGGAAGTGCTCTCTCCCGGACCACAATGCATACTTTGGAAAGGAGGGAGGAAAGGAAAAGGAGTATATACCTTCGAGAACTGTCAACCATGCAGAGTGATGGGAGATCCCAATAGAATTACCCGCCAAACATGTATACTCCCCAGCATCCTCAAATGAGACATTCCTTAAGTGAAGGACTTCCATTTCTTTGTCTGTCGTGTTAACGCCAGCCGTCTGGAAGGAAAAATGGAAGCAAAAAACGGAGAAGCAAACGACATGAGATCTTCTGGGAGGAGGCCAGAGAGGAGGGAGAGCCCAGTCTCATTTGCCAGACCCCCGGGGAGCAGACAGAGACCACTGCAGACCTGCCAGAGAGACCCTGGGGATGAGCGCTCATCCCGGCGGAGCGAGGGGGACGCTGTTAAACCCTCCACCAAACGGAGTGTCCTGCCCATCCGAGCATGCTGCCGATGGGCTCATGGAGAAATCACCCGGGCACAGCTGGCTGGCTCACTGACAGGGACAGGGCTGGGAGGATGGGACAGGACAGACACGAGAGGGTGGTGGCAGGATCTTTGGGTTGACCTCAGAGTCACTTTTTCCCAGCCTGGTGGCTGAAGAAAGCGTTGGGTTCTTCAGCTCGTGTTCACAAGGTTGTTTATTATCTATTATCTAAAATATTTTCTCTCAGACCTGCAGAGGTCTGCTCTGCAGGTCTGTCAAGACTGCCCTGAGGCAGTGCTATCTCTTTATATTAAAAACTACGTGTACTTTATTTACAATTATTTCCCAATACCTATCACCTATGTTAGACTGTCTACTTCTACTCTAAACCAATCTAAAAACGCCACCATCAGCAAGAAGATGGAGGCTAGAAAGAAGAAGGAAGGAGGACAGGGAATGCCCAGATTCCTCCATCTTGGGACTCCAAACCCTCATTCTAAAAATCCCAAAATTCTACTTTTCACCCTGAGACAACTACTATTACGCTTCTTAAACTTTTGTGACTTGTAATTCTTCATACAAGGTTGGTAATTTGCTCCATGGGTTAAGATGGAAATCCCAAGAGTCTCTGGCTTCCTGCCAGGATCTCCAAGCCCCCAGCAGGGGCACAAGCCATCCAGGGCACCCAGAGGGATGTCCTGGGTTCTGACAGCAGGAGGGCAGCACACACAGGGCATGCAGCACCCTCAGACACCCAGGTTCACTGGTGGCAGACCCAGCGGCTACCTGGGCTGCTCTGGTGTCTGCGTGGTGGGGAGGGCAGCACACAGGACAGACAGCAGGACACAGCAGGGACACACACACACACAGAGCACAGCGCCCTGCCGGGTATTTTTCCATGGTTGTTGCACCAGAAACAGCAGAAACAAGAGAGCCCAGAGTTTTGTCTTCCACCGCCAGGCATTCTTCGGGTTACCTGTGGCCAGGGGCCTGGTGACTGTGAGCCACGCAGACTGGTTGGCCTCGCCAATATAATTGGAAACCTTACAAACATACTCCCCGCTCTCCGCCTCTGTCACATTATACAGGGTCAGCACCTCCGCATCAGAGCTATTAATCCCCGAGTGCTGGAACAGACCAACAACATGCAGTCACACGGATGGGCTCGGGAACCACAGCGCCCTGAGGGCTGGCACCCGCTCTGCCAGCGCGGGGGCTGCTCCCCCCACGCCCACAGGGGGTCACAGGAGGAAGGAGCAGGCAGGGATGGGGGTGTAACTCTGCTCCCGCTGCTTCCCAGCTGGGATGGCTGCGCGGGGTCACAGAACGGGCTGGAAGGGATCCTCAAAACCCAGTCTGAGCTCCTGCCACAGGAGGGATGTGGCCAGCTGAGTGGGTGCAGAGGGAGCTGCTCTCCCTGGGCTGATCCAGGGCTCAGCTCCCAGCCCCAGCGCTGTGTTCATTTCCTGGACAGCCCACCCAGCCCCGTGTGGGTGCCCTCAGGGCACTGCAGAGCCAGCACACAGCTGGCACACACAGCCCTCCCTGCCCACCAGCCTGGTGATGGCTCTGGGCTCCAGCTGCCCCCAGGCCAGTGGTGCCCAGCCCCAGGGGACTCTTGTGGCTGCCCTGCTCCTGCCCCAGGCCCAGGGAAGCTGGGCTGTGGCTGGGAGCACCCAGAGCGTGGCTTTACCTTCAGGATCTGCACGTAGGGCAGGTTGTCGGGGCCGATCTTGCTGCCGTTGACCTCAATGTGCTTCAGCCACTGGATGTGGGGCTGAGGGTCGCTGTAGACCTTGCAGACAAACTCCACGTTGCTGCCCAGGGCCACTGTCTTGTTGGCAGGCAGCCCTGCCTGCAGGATGGGCCGGTGCGGGGAGCGCTCTGCGGGACCAGGGCATGGGGCCCAGGGTCTGGGATGCCCATCTTGGGTGCACCCTCACTGAGGTGGGCACCAATGCAACCAGCACAGCATTGGTGTCCCCGTCCCCAGAGCCTGCCTGCAGTGGGGTGACAGCATGCAGGATGGGGGACAGTGAAACCCCGCTGTGGGGAGAGGGACATCAGCACCTATTGGGCAGGGTCAGAGGTCAGACAAACCTATGGAGGGTCCTGGCTGTTAACAAAGTGGCTGCCACCGTGGTGAGTCAGCATTAACAAACCCCTTTGTTCACCTCGCTGACTGTTCCCTTCAGTTTGCTCAGTGTAATCAAATTAAATCACATTTTTAATGGTTCATTTACTGGCATTTAGAGCAGCTCCACATGTGGAACTGCTCAGACCAGCCTTCCCAGCTGGGAATTATGGCTAATAAGGCGATTAGAAAAACTTTCTGTCCGGCCTATGAAATTATTTTCACCACAATTAAAAACTCCCAGACCAGGGTGGGGCGAAACTCTCTCTGCCTGCTGTGCTGCAGAGGTGCACACCAGGGCAGGAGACCAGGGGGCTGGGAGATGGCCACAGGGATGGTGGACAAGCCCCAACCCACCCATCCCCACAGGCTGCAGCAGCCCCTGCTGCCTGGGAAGGCTGAGGGGGAGGAGGGTGTGGGGTGAGCCCCAGCCCCTGCACTCACCCACGACATCCAGCTGGTAGGTGTGGTTGATGCTGCCATACTTGTTCTCCACGATGCAGGTGTAGTTGCCCTTATCAGATGGCACCACCGAGTCCATGATGATGCTCCAGGTTGCCTGGCGGACCTGGGGGCAGGGGGAGCACAGAGCCAGTTATGTACAGCCCCCACGAGCCCCAGGCCCTGCTCATCTCAGAGCTGCTCCAACGCCTAGCACGGGCAGGACATAAATCTCCCTTTGAGGTCACCTTTCTCTTCCCTGCAGAGGGGCTGTAATTGCTCCCAGCTGTCCCAGGAGGGACAGGAGCCATGGAGTGGCTCTGTGCTGAGCAGCAGATGTTGGCCAAGCACGGTGGGCTTGCCTGGTGTGGGGGGACACCCCTCCCTGGTGGCCCCTGCGTGTGCAGGGACCAGACCAGCACTGCTCCTCCTGCAAGAGCTGCCTCCCTGGCTGGCCCTGGGGGTCAGAGCCCACTGCTGCCCATGTGGGCAGGGGGCAGCTGCAGCCTGGTGTCCTGCACCCAGGGCACTCTTTGGACCCACTGCATCTCCTCTGGGAGAGTCTCAGTGGCTCTGCTGGAAGAGCAGTGCCCAGGGCCCTCTGCAAAAGCCAGCCCTGTCACTGCCAGCTCCAGCTGTGGCTCCTCATGGCAAACCCTCCTTGAGGAGACTGGTTATTTCCACAGTCCTGCATTTCAGCCCATTGGCTAGCTGGGGCACTGTGCTGTCACAGCCCCTGTCCTCCCCACCCATGAGCCATGTCCTGGGTGAGCCTGTGTCCCTCCAGGACACACAGCACAGAGCTGGCAGCTGTGACCTGGCTGCTCTCCTGCTGCTGCCCCAGGCTCCTGGCAGGAGCTCTGGCATGCAGGGCCACGCTTGTGGCATGTGGCATGTGCCATGTGCTCAGAGCCCCAGGCAGGCTGCAAAAACAGAGAGATGGCAAAAGGGGACAGCGCTGCCTTCTGGCTGCTCATCCCCTCCCCTGGGGAGAAAAGGAACTCGGGGATGCTGGTCTGGAGCTGTGAGAAGGGGAAAGACAAGCTGCCACCCCACCCAGGTGCCACCTGCAGCCTGGCTCTGCTGTGGGTGCTGGGGAAGCAGCACCCAGCTCCTCCCCAGCTCAGAGAGCCAATGTGGGCCCCAAACACGGCCTGGAGCACCCCCACCAAGCACTGCCAGGCACGGAGGGGCTCCTCCAGCCCCGGGGATGCCCAGACCCCCCTCCTTGGCGGGGGGATTAGGAGGAGCTGGCTCCTCAGCACAAGCCCCCTCCCCCAGGGCTGAGCTGGTACAAACATGACCCAGAAGCAGGTCACTCCCAAGCAGCAATGTCACAGGGGCCCATCTGCCCTGCTGGGGTGGCGTGCATGCGAGCTCAGTGCCTCTCCAGCCGCAGAGCCCTGTCCCAGTGCTGCCCCTCCCCAGGAGCCCCCCGCCCTGCAGTGCACAGAGCTGGGGGCTGTCCCCCAGTGCCCCAGCCTCACCTTGTACCCCCCGATGCGGTGGTCAGGTTTGAACTCTTTGCCGTTCTTCAGCCAGCGCAGGGTGGGGTTGGGTGTCCCGCTCGATGGACATTTGAATTTCACTGTTTTGGCAGCGGGGACAGCGTGGAGCTTCTTCTCCATCTTCTCGGGATAGGTCCAGTAGGGAGCGATGGCCTCTGGGGAGCAGAGGGAGGGCTCAGCACGGCCAGACCCAGCAGCCTCCTGCTCCCAGAGCAACCCAAGGATGCCCAGACAGGAATCAGGAGAGATGCCAGCAGCCAGGGCCAGCTAAAGCAGGCAGGGGAGCTCTGGGACACCCATGAGACACAGCAGCCCCTTCCCTGTGGGGTGGATGCACCAGCAGTGACCCCACTGCAGCCGTGCTGGCACAGCCCTGCTCTGACCCAGCTGCTCCACCTCTCCCCACTGTGCCCTCGCCACTGCCACGTGCCCTGGGCTGCTTGCCCACCCCCTGGGTGATGCCTGTGTGTGCCCAGCCTCCCCCCTGCCCGGCCACAGGGCAAGCCCAGCTGGCACGTACGGTTCGGCTTGGTGTTATCCGCCTCCTTCTCCTCCGACGAGGAATCATCTTCATCATCATCATCCTCTGCAGAGGGGAGGGCGTCTGCAAGAGAGGCAAGGGCCCTGCTGAGTACCTGTGTGTGAGGGGAGCTTTGTGGCTGGTGGGGCTGGAGCACGGTGGGTGGGTGCTGGGGGCTGTGCCCGGTGAGGTGGGAGGGCAGGGCGGTGCTGGTGCCTGGCAGGAACGTGGGGATCCAGGGAAATATTCCACACAATCCCCAGCACAGCCACGGCTGGCAGCCCACCATCCCAGTGCCTGCAGCCACTGTGAAGAGATTTGCTGTCAGAGGTGACTTCTGAGCTCCTCACTCCACATCTGGTGCCACCGATACCCCTAGGGTGGCAGCCAAGACCTGTGAGCACAGACATTCGAGCATTCCCCCCTCTCCAGCCTCACACTCCATCAACACCACTGCAGACCACAGCTCCCACCCAGCACATGCCCTTTTTGGGGCAGCCCTGCAGCTCCCCACCCCCTCAGATAAAAACGAGATGATTTCTGCCTGCTTCTCCCTGCGCTGAGCGCCCACAAAAGCCGCAGCACCGCACTGGAAACTCTTCTGGGCACCTGCAAGGTGCAGGTCAGCCCTGAACTCACTGTGCATGACCAGGTGTGTGCAGGGGCCTGCAGGGTTCTGCAGGGGTGTGCAGAGGTGAGCACAGGCAGCCTGCTCCTCGCTTCACAGCCCGGCCCCGCGGCTGCCCCGCTTGCTGCTACAAACCTGAGACGTTGACGGAGAAGTAGGTGGTCTCGCTCCCCGAGGGGCTGTTGGTCATGCAGGCATAGAGCCCCGAGTCCTGGGGCACCACGTCCCTGAGCTCCACCTCGTCGCCGGTGATGCGCGTGCGGTTGTTCTCGGCCAGCTGGGCGCCGTCACGCACCCAGTTGATGCTCTGCACGTCATCCCGCAGCCGGCAGCGCAGCTGGAGCAGCTCGCCGGGGTGGGCCGAGTACGACTCCACTTCGATTTTTGCTTTGGGCACAGCTGGAGGAGTTAGGGGAGGGAGGAAGAGAAAAATAAAAGGAGAAAAGGAATAGAGACCAAAGAAAAATCATGCTGCTGCTGCTGCTGCCTGGTTAATGAGGCGACATGCACTGCTGGGATGTTCCCACTGCTGGGACATTCCCACTGCTGGAACACTCCCACTGCTGGGACATTTCCACTGCTAGGATGCTCCCAGTGCTGGGACATTGCCACTGCTGGGATATTCCCATTGATGGGACATTCCCACTGTTAGGATGTTCCCACTGCTGGGATATTCCCACTGCTAGGATGCTCCCATTTCTGGGATGCTCCCACTGCTGGGATGTTCCCACTGCTGGGATGCTCCCACTGCTGGGATGTTCCCACTGCTGGGATGCTCCCATGGCTGGGATGCTCCCACTGCTGGGACAGTCCCACTGCTGGAACATTCCCACTGCTGGGATGTTCCCATTGCTGGGACATTCCCACTCCTGGGACATTCCCACTGCTGGGACATTCCCACTGCTGGGATGTTCCCACTGCTGGGATGCTCCCACTGTAGCACCAGGGTCCCCAGCACCCAGGGGACAGAGCCCACGGCAGCAGCAGAGCAGAGCAGAGGCTGCGAGCTCCCCAAGCAGCACCGAGTGCTTCCCTCTGCAGCAGCACCTGCCTGGAGCCCAGGCAGCCCCACAGCAAGCTGGACCAGAGCTGTCCTGGAAAAAAGGAAGATAAATTCCTTGTCAACCCCATTTCCTCGCTGGGTGCCCTTTTCAGCTCTTAATGAGCATGACAGGGCAGGGGATTCCCAACAGGGGGAGAAACAGGCACCAGTGACACCTCAGTGCTGCTGTATGGCAGGATCCAGCCTCTGCCAGAAGCACCCCAGTCCCTGCATGGCTCTGCCACCTTGCAGGGCTCTGGGGATCCCTACCACCACAAGCAGGCAGCCAGCAAAGCAGGCCAGGGTCCCCATGCCACCAGGACCCCCACCCTGGTTAGAGCAGGGCACGGCAGGGGTGAAAGGGCAGGACAGCAGGCAGGGAGCAGGGGCGACAGGTGAGCCCAGGGAGCTCTGGCCAGGCAGGCCACGGCGTTCCCATCCGCAGCATCCGGGCAGGGGAGCTGAGCTACCCGAGGCGACGCTGGTGTGAGCAGCACAAAGATCCTTTCTCTCCATCCTGCTGTGACACAATCCCATCTCTGCCAGCCCTGAAGTGGCCAGGGCTGTGTCCTCGAGTCCTGCCCTCCACGGGTGGTGCACGAGCAGCTCTCCTGGTGCCAGCCTTGGGGAAGATGCTGCGTTTCAAATCACCTCTTCAAATTCCACAGCCCACAGAAAGGTCCAGGCAGCTCTGCAGAGGCTCCCTGTGATGATGTGGGTGGATGCAGCGTGATCATCACCCTACACTGAGCTCTACAGGTTGGTGGGCACAGCTCCACAGCCCAACTCTTCAGGCAGGCACCTCTCGACCTCTGCCTCCTCCCTGATGTGTGTCTGGTTGTTCCTGGCCAGCTGGATGCCATCAGGATGCTGTGGGAGCAGCACGAAGGGGCACAGGGCACTGCTGCAGATGCTCCTCTCAGGGGCTGGAAAATCCCCAAATATGCAGCAGAACCAGCCAGGAGATGTTCAAGCTTCAGCTGATCTGCAGCTTGAGGGCTGAGCACCCCAGGATTTCTGAGCACCCAAAGAGCCAGAAAGAACAACCTCTGCTCCCTGCCCATGTGCCCTGAGCAGCACCGAGCAGCTCGCCCTGGGCCAGTGCAGGGTGGCACAGGGTCTCTGCTGGCACACCCCCAGGATTTCTGAGCACCCAATGAGCCAGACAAGAACAACCTCTGCTCCCTGCCCATGTACCCTGAGCAGCACCAAGCAGCTCGCCCTGGGCCAGTGCAGGGTGGCACAGGGTCTCTGCTGGCACAAAATGCCCCACAGAGGAGCCAGGGCATGCAGGCAGCACAGGGCCAGGACCAGCAGCGAGGCCTCACTCCTCCCTGCTCCCCACAGCCACTCTGTACAGCCAAAAATGAAACCTCAGCTCTCCAGAACTCTGATTCACCGCACCGTGACCTGCACTTCACTTTCTGGCCACTTCTCTTTGCCTTGGACTGATGAGAAGCTTCATGGGAAAAACATTCATGAGCAGCTCCAGAGTTTCTCCTCTTTCTTTTGCTCAGCACTTGAAGGAAAACAGCAGAATTCCCTTTCCCCAGTTGCTGTAATACCAGCGCCAGGGCTCCAGTTCGTCCGTGAGACGTTCCAAAACATTTTAAGTGGAAGGAGAAGACTGATGGGAGCTCCTTTGGTGGTGGGGAAGGGTCTTGCTTTGCAATCCTGTTTTCCCCTGGTTTTCTCCCACAGGACGGGCACTTCTCACAGCTCTGGTTTGTGTTCCAAGCGATCAGTCACAGGCATCTCCAAAGGCTCTCAAAGCAGCAGTGACATCCCATCCTGTCCCCCTGAACCCCCGGGGCTGGGCAACATCACCTCCTCCTGCCCTCCTCACACAGAGCAAGGCCAGTGGGCAACAAACAGCCACAAACCCCAAACCAGCACGAGTCCAGTGCTGCAGCCATAGCTGCTCTTATCTGGCTCCCAGCTCTGCCTCCTCCCAAGCATCAGCAAACTTCCCTATGGAACAGAATAACCCTGCAGGGAAACTGGGGTGGTCACTCCTCCCAGCCTGGAGCTCCACCAGCACCCCACACCTGAGCACTGTGAGGAGGTGTCCTGGGGATGGAAAAGGCCTTTGGAGCAGGGGAAGGCTCAGGAGACCCCAGCCTGATGCCAGGGCTTGAGGAGGCAGCATTCCAGGTTCAGGAGTGTCCTTTTCCAATGGCCACAGGTCCTTGGGAACGCTGTGGAAGTGCCACTGCTCCTTCAGACCCTTGGGCGTGGGGCCAGATCCCCTCTCAAAGCTTCCAGCCCCACTGAGCCAGGGGCTGGTTTGCACCAGCAGCATGACTGGGGCATGGAGGTGCCGAGGTGATGGGCAGAGAGGGGAGCAGAGGGCACTGGGGGGCTGCCCTTGGTCACCCATGGCATGAGAGAGGAGCAGAGGGCACGTGGGGCTGCCCTTGGTCACCCATGGCACTCCTCTGGCACTTGGGATAAGGTGGAAAACGTGGCCTGGTGGGAATGGCCTGAGCAGGAATTCACAGGCTAATGAGCATGGCCAGGCTTGCTCAGCCTCTCAGAGGGACTGGCATGGCACAGATGGCACCGGGGGCACTGAGAGCTGCTGGTGTGAGCTGTGGCACTGGTATGGCCTCCACTTTGGTTAATGATTGCTGTCTCATTAGCCTGCTACCTCCCTGTCTCACATCCCCCTCTGCTTTCCTGTACCTTAAAGCACAGCCCCATGGCAGACCCCCACAGCAGAGCCATGGGCACAAGCCAGGCCCTCAGGGGCACCTCTCCAGAGGTTCCTCAGCCAGACCAACACCTGGCTCTCCTCCCCGAGGCTCTGGCTGCTCCCAGCACTGCACAAAGGTCGGTCAGTGGAGCCCTCACCTCAGCTGGGAGCAGCGGGGCTGGTCACAGCCCCTTTGAGCAAACAGGGAGCAGAGCACAGGAACAGCAGCCCTGTCCCTCCCAGGGGACAGGGGAGCCCCAAGGGGCAGCTCCAGCCCACGGTGCCTCCATGAGCACCCCCAGAAGCTGCACAGTGCCGTGGCGGGGGCAGCTCGTGTGGGTTTATTACTTTATTCCAGCTTTGAAATGGAACTGAGTCCAGGGGCCAGATGGAGAGTGTCACCAAGTGCATACAACTGTCACCAGCTCCCCGGGGACAGCAGGGACGGGGACAGCAGGGACGGGGACGCGGGGCAGCTCTGCAGCAGGGCTCACTGTGCCCCCCAGGCTGGGCACACACCGCGGGGAGCCCGGGCTGCACCCTGCAAGCACAGAAAGCCACAGGCCGTGCCGATGGTGGCGATGGCAATAAAGGGGCCAACAAAGCGGCGCGGGGACAATGCGGGCGGGGGGCGCGGAGCCGCAGGCGCCGGTTGCCCTGGAGACCCCAGCGGGGCTTTCCGAAGGTATTTCCTGAAGAAAAAGCACACACATGCCCGGCAGCCCCACTAATCCCAACAGGAAGCGCTCACCGCGACGCGGGGATTGGCTTCTTTTTGATTTGAACAGCTCCTGGCCCCGCCGTGCCCCCCCAGGCCGGGCTGTGCCGGGGGGCACGGCCCGAGCTGCAGCACCCGTGCGTGTCCCTGCATGCAGGGAAAGGCTGCAGCGGGGAGATGCCAGCAGATGAGCATCACAAGGCACTCAGGGCACCCCCAGCTCCTCCTGCCCAAGCCAGCCCGGCTGCTCCCTCCGCAGGGAGAAGGGATTTATGTCCCGCTCCAGGCTCTCCCGCTCTCCCAGCCTGCACCGCAAATGAAGCAGCACTTAATTAACAGGCGCGTTGGGAGTTTAAAAAGCTGCCAGGATAAACCCACCCCTTCCCCCCGGCCCTGCTCAGAGCGTGGAGGCAGCAGCTCGGGGCACAGACCCCTCTCCATCGGCTCCCCCCGGCCATGGGACACATGGGGGTCACAAGAGTGACCCCAACCCGCAGATTTTGGCTGGCTTTGCCCATCCTGGCTCACTGCTGGGAGCCAGTGCCCGTTCCTGTGCCCACCTCCCTCCTGCACACACGGGGGGCTCCCCACTCGGGGACCCTCCTGCTCCCCCCGGGGCAGCTCCACAGCCCAGGCTCTGGCAGAGCACAACTCTTATTTTTTATATTTTTTTTTAGTTTTTTTTTTTTTTTTTTTGCTCCTCAATTAAGGGCTGGAGTGACAGCATCCGAGTGGAAAGGCGGGAGGAGGGAACAATGCCGGCCCGGCAGGCTGGGAGGGGACAGTGGCGATGCCCTGGGGGACACAGCCGGCACCGGGCAGCTGAGCAGAGGGGTCTGGGGGTGCTGCTGGGCCCCCCGAGCTCCGGGAACACTCCTGGGCTGCTGCCATCAACAGCAGAAGAGCAGGAGGCTGCAGGCTTGGCAGGGAATTGCTGGGCTGCTTGTGGGGCTCCAGCAAGGAGTCAGCCACTCCAAACGGGATCCCCTGGGCTCCCCGAGGCACTGGGGGGACACACCTAGAGCTGCAAGAACAAGGAGGGACTGGGCACAGGGAAATGGGGAGGGGGACACAGCCGAGGGTCAGGGTCAGCAGTGGGGACAAGCCAAAAACCCTCGTGGGCTCCCCCAAACTGAGCACATTGCCTGCCCCGAGTGTTGGCTCCTGCAGGGTCCAGAGCAAGACCCCCTGGACGAGCTGGGGACAACAAAGCCCCGGGAGCCAGAGCCCCTGCTGGCCCTGCAGATGGCCAGGGGGGGTTAAGCTTGTGGCCAGCTGGGCAGCCAGCAGCCTGGGAAATGGGGCAGCCCCCAGCCCCATGGGGAGGGGGCTGCAGCCCACCCCTGTGTGCTTTGGGGTGCAAACACACCCCCCGGGGGAGTATCTGCTGCACTGGGGCAGTTTGGGGTGTGGGGTGTCCCAAAACCAGCTGCCCAAGGCAGGACCCCCCTGCCCCAGGACAATCTGCAGGGCCAGGGCAGCCCCCTGCGAGGAGATGCCTGAGCAGCGGCTGGGACAATGGCAGACAAGGAGAGAGGGGGGGAAAAAAAACCTTGGCAATTTTCTGCAGGTTTCTATTTAACCTGGAGACAAAGAGCGGCTTTGTGCGAGGGAGGGACAGAGGCTGCGCATGGAAATTTCTTGGCTTTTCCCCTTAACCAGGGTTTTTTCACCACCTCCAAATTTAGGTAACTATAAAATGCAGTAAATGCCTGTTAATGTTTTATTTGCCCCAGGTTTTTTTGGTACTGGGAGGGAGCCCCTGACGAGCAGAGCTCCCAAACTCCCTCCCACACCACAGGGAGAGGGGGGCCAGTGCTGAAGCCCCCTCCACGTGAGGCCAGGCCGCTGGCCGGCCGCGGGGGATTACTCCTCCCTGAGAAGGGAGCTTAGCTGCCTCAGAACCGGGAGTAAACTGAAACCCCATAAACATGCAGAACAAAGTCCGGGAAAGCTGCTGCCTCCACCACCGAGGGACCGAGTGCCGTGCTGCTGCCCCAGGGTGATGGGAGATGCTCCTGAGCCATGGGGGAACACAGAGACCTTGCCCCCCCAGGCCACCATGGCCCTCAGCACGGCAGCTGAACCCCATCCACACCCCTGGGGACCCCAAAACCCCTGGGGCTGGGTCGGAGCCTGCCCCCGAGAGATGCTGGTGGCTCAGCCCTGGCTGCAGGTCCTGGCCCAGCACTGGCTCTTCCCATCCCACACGTCCTGCTGGGAACATTTTGTTCCCACCAGTCGGCTCTGGAGCCAAGGGACGGATCCTGCCCCAGCCGGGCTCCTGCTGTGGCACTAATTGGGCCGCCCTGGTGAGAACCGTGTCGGGAAACGTTTCCAGAGGTTATTGTTAGCCCTGGCATGAGGCTGGCGAGGAACCAGCTCCCTCCTCTCCAACCTCTCCTCTTCCACTGCCACCGCCTGACGCGGCTCCCAAACCCTCTGGGAGCTGCAGGGCTCCTCGTGCACCCCAAAATTCACCTGTGAATTTTGAAATTCATCAGCTCCCCTCAGCCTGAACACCCCAACGCTTTCCTCAGCGCCACAGCCGGGGTTGGGGCTGCAGGTGGTGCTCTCCTGGCACCACAGAGCCATCCTTACCCCAAACACTGCCAGGAAACCTCTTCCAGGAAGAGCAATCTCCCGAGAAAAACATGTTTACCACTGTCAACCGCATTGTTTACAGATGCGGGGAGCAGGCACGCCAGTGGAAAAATCTCAGCAATGGTCGCTGTGAGTGAAGCTCTGCCCGGAGCTGCAGCTCCCCAGGGACCACGCGTGGCTCAGGGTGTCTCCTGGGGTGTCACCTCACAGGGTGTGACCTGTCACCAGGGTACCTGCTGCTCCAGTCAGAGGAGCAGCCAAGGGCATCACCCAGGCATGTCCCCCGGGGGCTGGTGCAGCTGCAGAGGGGTCACTTGGTGGCTGCCAGCTCCCACCCCGAGCCCGAGGGGACCCCAGGGCACCTCACAGCGCCGTGCCCATGCTGGCCACACCGGCAATGTGCCTCTCAGGGCTCTGCTGGGAGGAAGGGGGAAGGGGGAGCGAGTCTTAAAAAGCAGAGCAGTGCCCACAGACCAGACATTCTTGGGTAATTAGAACCAAAAGGAGCGAGTCGAAGTGCCGCTGCCGGCTCTGGTTATTCTCTGCCTCGCCGAGGGCCAAGGCTCCGAGGCGCCGGCGCAGGGCTCTCTGCCAGGGCCGGCTCTGCCCAGGGCCAGCCGACCCACTTGGCCCATCCCTGAGCCTTGGGGTGCCCCACACTGCAGAGCTGAGCCAGGAGCACCCCCCTGGCCACTGCCACCAGCCCTGCTCCCGGGGGACAGCAGCGATAACAAGGGAGGGGATGTCCTGGTGAGGGACTGCACTCCCCAGCCCCACGGAGCAGAGATTTGGACTGCACAAATCACACGAGCCAGCCCCAGCTTTGAGCCCCCGCCTTGGGCACTCCCAGCTGGGAGCAGCACCGGAGCATCCCGAGGGTTTCTGCAGGGTGCACTCATCCCCAGCACTGCCAGCTGGCAAAAGCTGAACCAGCACCCTGCGCCCAAACCTTCACCCCACTGTGAGCCCAGGGTCACCCCAGTGGGGCCAGCAGGGTGGGAGCAGCCTCACACACACCCCAGGCTACAGATCATCACAGGAGTGACAGTGTGATCACACAGAGTGACCCCAGCAGGGGACACATCCCCACTCTCCTCCAAACCAAGGCGTCAGGGTTTGCCGCAATTTTTCTCCAGGCAAAATGTCCCCAAGCAAAATGTCCCCAGGCAAAATGTCCCCAGGCACTGCTGGAGCCACACACCCACTTTTGTGCCCACACAAACCACTCTGGGGACAACATGTGCCATGTCCCCAGAGGCACCAACTCCCAAGGCAGCCGGGTGACACCACAGGTGGCACTGGGGACGTGCTGGTGGCCCCACAGCTGGAGCCAGCCTCTGCCTCAGGGAAGAGCAGCTCACGAGGAACACAAAGGACAAAGGAGTGGGGGCACAGGCCATGCTCTTACCTTGCTCGGGCAGGGTGGGGGCCGGCCGGGCAGCGGAGAGCGCGGCTGCGACCAGCACAGCCCAAAGGAAGAGGCACCGCCAGGTCCACATCCCACTGCTGCGGCTACTGCTCGGCGACTGGGCTCCGCAACTGCCACTCCATGGGGGCCCTGGGCGGGCACAGGGGGGTCTCCGCAGGGCTGGCAGCCCCTACAAGCTGTGAAGGAGGAAAGCAGAGTCAGGAAGAGGCAGCTCCCCCACATCCCACCATCCAGCTGCCATCACAGGCGATGTTTGTCCCGCATCCAGCCCGGACAGCAGGACGTCCCTGGGTCAAGGGATGTCCCCAAACTTCGGTGGCATGTCTCCACAGACCCCCTCAGCAGCCTGACACGAGCTGGCACTGACTGGCAGGGTTATGTTTCCCTGTGTAAAAGCGCTGATGTGTCAAGAGAGAAACCGCTGGCGAAGCAGAACCGAATGCACAAAGATTTCCCAGAACGGTGAGAGAAACATTAACGCCAGTTAAAGAAAGGGAGATTCCTGCTCTCCTCTTCCTGCACTCTGTCAGGTGTTGCTAACCAATGGCTTCACTGAGGGAAATCCCTTATCCAGAGCAGAATCTCATGTTGTCTGTGCCACCCCCAGCACAGCAGCTCTCACTGCAAACTCCAGCCCCCGCCGTTCCCTATAGGATCCATAGGGCACACAGCAGGCACCTCCTTGGAGAGGCCTTCCTGGAGCCAGAGGGTCAGCCAGCTGCAGCCCATCTCTTTCCACCAACAGCTGTTTTTGAAGTGGCTGTGTGGGGAGAAATCCCCCGGCATCCAGGGCCAGCTCTGCAACTCGCTCTCGTCCCTGCCAGCTCTCACGCTGGGCTCTCCAGCCCACCCATCCCCTCAGGTCCCCATCCTTTCCAGGGGACTGCTCCGTGCAGGGCAGCTCCAGAGCTGTGTTCTGACACAGGGCAGCCCAGCAGAGCCTGATCCTGCCTCAGGGTGCTGCGAGGGCGTGCCCTGCATGGCCTTCATTCCTCCTTCCCTCTGACCATCCCTCCTTCCCCTCCATGCCAGGAGCATGGAGCTCTTCCAAGACACGTTCCAGGGGGACGCCGGAGCCCGAACCCAGCCGCCCCCGGCCAACTGCTCCGAGCCGTGCGGATGGGAACGAGCCCCTGTGCTCCACCCCCGCGCCACATCTGCACCTCGGCAGCAGCCTGGGACTCGGTCCCGACGCTGGCCACGGCTGATGGTCCCGCCGGGCTCTGCCGAGGAGATCCTGCCCAGCCATTGCACAACGCGCGCGGCCCCGGCCAGGGCGCCGCTGGCAGCGGGAGCGCTGGGACAGCGACCAGGACATGGACAACACCATCCCACAAACCCTTCCTGAGGCACCTCCCGGGGCACAGCTGTGCCTCCAGGCCCCTCAGCCCCTGCCCAGCATCCCAAGCTCACCGGGTTGCTGTCCCCCACGCCGCGTGCTGCGCTGTCCCCGACCTGCCGCGGGAACAGGCGCTTCCCTTCGCCGAAAGGCGTCAGGCTGAGGTACACACTGCTAAAAACAGTGAGTAATGATCGTAGTGAGTAATAAACTGCTACTCATCCTCCCCACGCACTCGGTCCACGGAGCTCTGGACTCTCCTGCTCCATTGTGTGACCCTGCGCTCCCCGTGCCCTGGTTTTTCACCAGGGATAGGCTGAGCAGCCACGAGCCCCAAAGGGCTTAGATCCTCTGCACCCAAAGGAAGCCCAGCTGGGGTGTAGTTGTGAGGTCTCCACCTGCCTCCTTCCTGCCCAACTGCTCTGGCTGGCACAGGAATATTTGGGACCCAAACTATTGACACAAGGAGTCAGGCAGGGAAAAGGGCACCCAGCAAACACTGGTGTTATCTCCAACACCAGCACTCCCAGGCACTGGGTAGTGCTTGGAAATAGTTATTGAATGTTCAGGATTTATCAGGGTTTGGAAAGGGGAGGCAGAATTTTTTGAGGGGGGGTGGAAAAAAAAAAAAAAGTCTTTGGTATTTCTGGAAATTATTTTCTGTCTCTCAGTGGCTTTGTTTATCGACAGCACATGCTCCCCGGAACATGCCCTAATGCGGAGCGTCTGCGTGGGCCTCCCGAGCCGGCCCCGCGCCGAGGGGAGGGATGGAGGGATGGAGGAGAGCCCAGTGCCTCCAGTTCCTGAAAAATGAGTCAGTGCTGGCTCGCACACAGCAGAGCCCTTCTCCAGATACACCTCGGAGTGGGTGCCTTCCAGCTGATTCAGGGGCTTGACAGCAGGATATTTCCATGGCGTAGGGATGGCTCGGCAGCACAGAGCTGTCCTGTGGCTCAGAGGGTCACTGGGAAGGAGGAAGGGAGGAACAGAAGGAAGAGTGCCAGGATCCAGCAAGAGCACACAGAGATGGTCAGCTTCCCAGGGCAGTGAGGGAGGGCGCAGCAGCCATGGCTTTGCTGGAGGGCAGCAGGACTGGGATGAATCCTGCCTGCTCCTCCTGGACAGGTTCAGCTGCACCCGAGGGAATCTCAGTGCTCAGAGATGCTGAAGAGGCAGCACAGACCTCTTCCTCCTTCCCAAGGGAAAAGGGGAGGCTGGGGAACCCCAAGACACCTGCCCTCATGACTCCTTGGTGTCCACACGGGAAGGAGGCAAGGAAGTGGGGAGAGTGCTCCTACCTGTGCAAACAACAGCATGGCTCTTTTCCGTGTTTGTACAGCTTTTATATAAATCCCAACAGGAAACCATTTGCTCTGGAGGATGGCAGCTTGGGCAGGGTGGGTCTCTGCTCCTGCCAGGCGCTGGGCACCATCCCCACTCCCCGTGGCCCCAGCACACTGCAATTTACTGCTCCGGGGTGGATTCAAACAACTAAAAACAGAAGCAGCTAGAGAGGAGCCAGGGCTAAGTGCCCCTCGGAGACCTGCCTCCAAAACTGCAATTACAACCAGCCATTACACCCACGGAGCTATTTCAGAGTGGTGATGGACAACCCTGTGCCCATCCGTGCACCCTCCACGGGCACACGCTCCCTGTGTTCCAGGAAAGATGTTCTCACACTGCCTTTGCACAGCAGGGTGTGCACGAGGAGCCTTGTGCAACCTGTCCTCCACCATCCTCAGGGACCCTGAGGGCTGCACTTTCACTCCTTGCATGTCCCACAGCCCTGAGTCATGGGGCTGAGCTGTCCCACGGACGTGGCACAGACAGGACCTTCCCACTTGCACAGCAGATGCACCTCATGGTTCTGAGCTGAGTGGCTCCGAGTGGGGAAGCCCCTTCCTGTCCTGTCCATCTCTGGAATGCATCTGAGGTGCCTGGAATGCATCTGAGGTGCCCAACACAGGAGCTGGTGCTGGAGCAGGGTGTCCAGCCAGGGCTGGAGCCCTGCAATGCTGTGACATCTGCAGGGGAGCCCCACTCTGATCCCTGGGTGCTGGATGTGAGGGGCTGGCTGCTGCCATGGGCTTGCTGGGGCTGGGGGCTCTGGTTCCCTTCCTCTGCCTCCCTGCTGGGGCACAGATGCCCCAGGCATTCACCACGTCAGAATGTCCGGGCTGCCTTGGCACCAGCAGCCAGCAGGTAGGACAGCGGGCAGGAAAAGAACAGGGACAGGCCAAATCCAACAGGGAGAAGAGCCTGAGCTCGACTCCTGGGTCTGCACAGCATCAGGAGCCTGAGGTGGCAGGCTGTGCCCAACCAGGCACAGTCCCTGTCCCTCAGGAGGGGGGGTGCTGACTGCCAGCAGCCCACCCTGCCTGGCACAAACGCCCCCCCAGCTCCAAAGCACATGAAAAGAGACTCCTTTCCCTCTGAGGCACAACAGAAGCAGCCCTCCAGCTGTCCTTGGGGAAGAAGGACACACCAAAGGCACAATCTGTGGGCGGCAGGAGCGAAGCCTTTCCCTTGCCCAGTGCTCCGTGCCCCAACCTGTGGCTCGGGTCAAGAACCAAGTATTTGCTGAAATAAAAAGCAAACACAACTGCACATGGAACTGTAGGGGAAAAGTGTAATGCTTAAAGCAGACACATGCTTGGAAAAATAAATATCCAACTGTGCAGCATAAAGAGTATGTTAACCCTTCCCAGCTGGCTGCCAGGACTTAGGGCTACCAGGGACACCTCCAGAACTGAGCTGTGGGCGGGTATCCAGCAGTGGGAGAGCCTGGGACACGGGGCAGGAGGGACAGGGAAAGGCTCAGCCTCACCTACAGCTCTCCATAAAACCATCGCAGTTCTAGAAGCATCCTCACACTGAGGGATCCCTCCCTACCTGAAGACTTGATTCTCTGATCTACAGAACAACCACCAAAAAGTCTATACTGGGCTGGTCGCCCTGAGGAGACTGGTTAAGGACAGGGGCACTGGGACATGATCAGTCTGCCATCCTAGGCAGGGACAGAGACCCAGCTTGGGAGGGAGCTGGATGGGGTTTTCACTGCACTCCTCCAAGGAAAGCCATCGGGAGGGGAAGGACACACATTTGCCATCATGCCCAGAAGCAGAAGATCCCCAAAGGGACAGCAAGTTGGATTTTCAGGGTGGGATGAGCATCTGCCAGTGGCCCCTTCCAGCAGCCAGGACTTGGGGGAGGGGACAATAGGGCCCCTGGCTCAGGTTATGTTTTTAGGTGGGTAAATACAGAGGGAGCTCCAGCCCACCTCTGGCAGTGACCCTTCCCGCACAGCCAGGGCAGGCACCTCGTGTGCAGAGCAGCCCAGACGAGGCTCCCGCCGGCTCCTCCAGCCCGGCACCACTCGTGCCTGCACCCCGCCGGGGGCAGCGGCGATTTATTTTAATCCCCTCGGAGCAACACAAGGAAAAGGCAGCAGTGCATGCCAGCCAGCACAGGGATTAAGGGAGGAAGTGCTCCTGAGTGGGGAAGATGGCTGCTGGCCAGAGCAGGGGGCTGCAGGGCCCGCGCTCCTGCGGCGAGCCCGGGCAGCGCGGGGGGGCTCTCCCTGTGCTGGCATCCAGCTGGTGGGCACCCCGAGAGCCCGGCCGAGCAAACCACCGCCTCCACCTGCGCACAGCCCCCCCAAGCCTGCCCCTGGCCAGCGCCCAGCCCGACCTGCTGTTCACTGAACCGCTCGGGTTTAAACATTGCCGGGCAGGGAACTCAGCACCCCGGGCACGGAGGGGACGGCGGGGCAGCCGCGGAGCTCCTCGGCGTCACGGACCGAGGCCAGAGCCACCTCCACGTCTCCCGGCCGCAGAACCCACGAAAACCACAACTAAATCCCTGTGCAACAATCCCTCCGGGCGGCACCGCAGCGGCGCGGCGGTCACCGCCATCGCAGGTGTCGCCGCCGCCTCCCCGCGCTCCCCGCACCTCAGCAGCGGTTCCCGGAGGATGCGGCGGCTCCCGGAGCCCCAAAGGGAGGCACACAAAGGGAGGCAGCAGCCCCGGGACGGCGTTATTCCAGCGCCTCCGCTCCCGCTGACCGCCCCGGGAGCCCAAAACTGAACCACCACCAAATCCAGCTCCTTCTCCATTTTTGTTCTAGAAGCCGCAGGGCTCCCGCTCAGGTACTTTTTGGGAATGAGGGGCCAGGCAGCGACTCAAAAACGAGCCCCGATTCCCGCCAGGCTGCCCCGCGGCCGGGAGGGGTTCCGGGCTCGGGACGGCGGGGGCGGTCCCAGTCTCGGTTCGGCCGATGGACGGGGTCGGACCCGCCGCCTTCCCCAACCGCTGCGCCCCGAGAACGGCCCCGGGGCCCCCGACCCCCGCACACCCCCAGGTCCCTCCAGGCGGAGCCCCCCCGGCGCCGGTACCGCCGCCCCTTCGGGGCAACGCGGCGCACCTGGGGGGGGTTCGGCCGCCACCGAGCCCCCGGGCCAGCCCCGCGGAGCACAAAGCGAGGCCCGCGGTGCCGGTGCCGCCCCCCCCGCGCCGAGCGGCGGCCGTTACTCACCGGAGCCCCGCGGGCGGCGGCGGGCTGCCATGGGCTT